TTATCAGAACCTTAAATAAGCCGGTTTTTTTTATCGCATAAATAAACTTCTTACAATAAGGAAATAAAATAAATGAATAATTTTCTTACAATGATGAAAGAAAATAGACTTTATAAAGTATATAGACTAATACAAAAAAGTATATAAACAAAGTAAAATGATTTAATATAAACAAAAATAATTTGCTCCGTAATCATAGAAAGTTAACAATTTCAGAATGTTACTATTAGTAGTACATAATTACATTGTCCAAAACTTTTAAGTTTAGCTTTAAAAACAGGGTAAGAAGAAGACGAATCAAAATTTTACAAAATAATCTTATTCCAAAGACAATCAAATTATATAAATTAAGTATTTTGTTGAATAAAGGCTTCGAATGAGTAAGACGATCCGCAAAATTAATAACACAAACTGTGTGCTTTTGACGGTTAAAAGACGTTTTAATCTACTCTTATTAGTTTAGAAAAAAATAGGTTAACTTCCCCAGGCAATATTTGCATAAATTAAAAAGTTATTGATAAACGAGTTATTGACAAAACATGCGAAGTCCAAGTAAACTGATTTTGAGAAAACGACGAAAAACTAAACCAACAGTTAATTGGTCCAGTATTTAAATAGCTGATAGATTTTAGTATATAGAGTGTGGAAATAGAACTAACTGAAAATTTTTATTTTTGTGACTTAGCGCGTTTTGCAGATGGGCTCCTCATATGTTAGCGATTCCGCGGCGCAGCAAAAAACACTTGACGTTTGACCAATTTTTCATAAACTTTACTCTCTTATATCTTTTTGTAGGGTTAAGCAAACACCTTGAGGTTTTCTGCATCAATTAGTGTTACTCAACCTCTTTTCCAGCCATATATAGAAATACAATGTTTTATATGGCTTCACCTAAATATTATTAATATCTTGAGACCACTTTTGTTAAAAAAAGCTGCCGCGGACAAGTTTTTTAAAACGAAGGTTTTGAAGGTAAGATTTCCTAAGTACTAAAACACATCCAATTTGCATATAAATTTCCATATAGATTAAAAAAAGGGTGATGAATCTAATGGAAAGGGAAACCTTTTTCAAATTTATACAAAAATTTTTAGTTCTCAACGTTCAAAAACTTTAAGGTCAATTTAGTAAAAAAAAAAAAACTTTTTTTAAAAGGTTCACTGTGAAAAAGGCAAGTATAGCCTTTCCTCTCTCTAAATCAAGTCAGGGTTAGGGTTAGGGTTAGGATCAGGGTTAGGTTTAGGGTCAGGGTTAGGGTCAGGGTTAGGCAAGTATAGCCTTTCCTCTCTCTAAATCAAGAATTTATTTTTTCTTGAAGATTTCATACTTAGGATTTTTGTTTAAAAATTATTTGCTTTTTTTTTTCACGTATTTAATGACGTTTTTTGTTTTGATTTTTGCGTTTGTTTACTAAATTATAAATAAATTTTTGCGTTTGCTTTTTGAAATTTGTCGAAGTCTGCTTAGCAATTAATTAGAAACTTAGATATTAGCTAAAAAGGACAGTTCATTTTATGAAAATAATATATAACTGCTTTAAATGGTTAGCTCTCAAACACACGAATTTTGTATTAAGAAATACCCACTTTTTACAAATTTGCAAAGAAAAAGATAAACATGACTTGAAACGGCCAAATCTGTCATAATTCTTTACAAATTACTTTAAATACCCTATAACTTAAGTAATGCTTGCTAAATGCCTTAAAAAGTCAAAAGACTATTTAGCAAAATTAAATTGGGCCAAACATTTTGATTTAAAGAACTACTATTTAAGCTCTGTTCTTTCTTTTCGTCCAGAAGTTCTTTATGTTGGTGGTTTGCTACCTTCTGTTAATTGTTCTATCCCTACTCTTAGTGCAATAGTTAAAAATCTAGTTTCTGATTTTGTATCTTCTGATTTAAAGTTAAACACCGCTAATGATGTGTTTTCAAGTTCTACTACTGCAACTGCTATTATATCCAACCCTTTAACAAATGATTCAGTTAAAAGCCTTTTAAAAACTAAAAATAATGAAGAGATTGGCTCTGTTTCCAATTTGAATCACAACCTATCTTCTCTATCTTTTGATGAGTTAACCTGTCAAATGAAGAAACACAAACGAATAATTATTCACCTTAAGTTTCAAAATAGACAAACTAATAGAAGATGCAATGAATATGAAAGAAATTATCAAGCAATCTTGTCAAAATATAATATCCGAAATGCCAACTAAAGAGAAGTTAGAAAAGATTGTAGGATTAACCAATTGTTGCAAATAAATTTAAAATTGGAAAAAGAACTTGATTTGGCTAGAAAACGTTCCCAGTCCAATCAACAAAAAGCATGGTATTTAAAAAAAATAATTTGAAAGCACTTCCTTAAAATTCTTTAGCCGCTGAATTTTTTAGTGAAATGAACATTCTATCGAAAGCTCAAGTTAGAGAGGCTATGTTAAATAGTTCACGCAATGTTCTTCATACAGATGGCGCAAAGTACAATTTTAATAAGGTTAGTAGTTTTCAAGTCTCAAAATTATCTGGTAGCTACACATTAGGGATAGAAGATATATTTTCAACTACAAAAATGATCTTAGAAAGATTATTTTTTCCTTCAAATTTTTGATGACAGATCGCACTGTTGTTAATTTAAGTATTTTTTACCAATTTAAACATTGGAGAGAAGCAATTTTGCTTTTTGTTGTTGAAAACTATAATAAGCTTCATTTAAATGAATAAATAAAAATTTCTCAAACGCATCATGTTTTTTGTGATTTACATGTTGTCCTCAATTTAGGGGTATACGCTTAAAAAGAAATTAGGAAATGGAAAAAAGTGGTTGAGGAGGAAGGCGGTATCCATGGAGGTTTTAAAAGTTCGCAAAACTCACGTACCTTGACATTTTATATGAATTTTCGAAACTTATAAGCTATAAATATGGCAATCAGCGGAATGGAAAAGCTGATGAATGGAAAGCATTTTTGCATAAAAGGGTTTTAAAAAATTATATGGTTTCATTCTAACATCATCGATTTAATTTTATATTTGTACTTGATGGAGCGACGTATTATCATAAAGATCATCTTAAAGAATTTGTTTTTAATCTTGATGGTGCAAATTTCCTTCATGGGTCAATTAGGCAGGACATTGAGAACATAATTTTTCACGCTTCAACTAGAGCTCTGGGAATTTTCAATAAACTTATTTCAGGACCTCTTTTTTGTATTATTGAAGAGAAGGGTCATATTTTTTCTTTGAATACAATTTGATCGCAAATGTTTAACTATTTCGGTAGTTGTTCTTTCGATGCATCAAAAATGTTGAGTAGTTCCACATTTTTTGATGTCAAATATCTTGCCAAAGATCAGGTGTTTTATAATTTATTTTGTGATAGTAACGACCCCCTTATGGATGCCTTAACACAAGAATGTCTTGAAGTTATTTGTTGCTCATGTTCAGTTATGATCCAGAGTCAGTTAAGAGACCAATGCCCTAGAAGAAAATATTATATTCCGGATGTTGATGTGCTTGAGGAAACTAAAAACTGCCCTTGTACTAACGTTGTATCTGAGCGTGACTTCTTATGACTGCAGGTTAACAATAAAACCTAACATGACAACAGTAGCTGCAGCTGGTGTTATCATGTTTAATAACAACAAAACAGCAGATTGTTTAGCTGGAAAATTACAGGAAGAAATTGAAAGGCTAGTTTTATTAGCAAGGCAAAATAGAAAAGGTATATCAGGAAGTACAGAGAGAAAAAAGCAAATATATTGCAGTACAAAATTGATGAGATGGATAAGCGTTACTTAGAAAATGAAAATAAAGGAACAAAGGACATGCGAAGAAAAAGTGTTTTTGACAACAGAAATTGGAAAAGATGGTGGTTTACTTTTGTGTAAAGAGGATTTGGAACAAATGTCAGGTACTGAAAATGAAATTCTAATGAAGTTGCAAAGACAGATTAAATTTAGAAAAATAGTAGTACAGCAAAAATTTCCGGAAAAGTGGTTACAGTTAGGCGAAAAAAGCAAAGCGGAAAAATACAAAAAATTTGGTGCAGGGATATTAAAATCGAACCTGCTATCAATTTTTGAATTTTCAAAAGATCCTCCAGAACAACGAGCAAGTACAATAAAATCTTCAGTAATCAGAAAGTGTGAAGAAAGAAGGGAAATGTCGTTAACATTAAAAGAAAAGGTCAGATTAGAAGGTGACAAAAGGTTATTAATAGAAATCGGAAAACAAATAAGAACAGGCACATCAAAGGGAGGGGTTCCAAAATTTTATAAATAGGAAAAAAATAAAACTTAAGATGCTAAATGAAGACGGCAAGAATGTATAGTATTCAGGGCTTGAAGTGAGTATTTTAGATGACAATGATTTTGATGAGGAATGAGTGTTTGAGGTGCTTAATGATGGATTTGAAGATAAATATGATTTTTTTATATGTATGCTTGTACTCTATACTCTTCATTTGGACCTCTGCAGTTTTGTTGTATCGGTAAGTCATGCTTTTTTTTTGTGCTTACGTACCCATTAGTCAATATATCTATAGTTGTGTTTAATTATTTGTAAGTTGTTATCTGTATCTTTATGTAGGTGCACCCTCAAGGTTTATAATTGTCTTTTGTTGAAACTCTAGAGCAGTGTTGACGTACCAGTTAGTAATGTTTTGTATATTTGTGTTTATGTATTGGTCATTATATGTATAATTGTGTTTTGTTGGGCCTCTGGAGCGGCGCTGACCCATCCGTAACTCATTATTTATATGTTTGTCTTTATGTAGTCGTTAGTTTTTATGCGTATGTTTGTGTTCTGTTGGACCTCTGGAGCGGTGCTGACCCACCCACAAGTCATTATATGTATGTTTGTATTTATGCAGCCGTTAGTCTTATGTGTATGTTTGTGTTTATCTACCTGTAAGTCATTATATGTATCTTACTTTTCTGTTGGAACTGTGGAATGGCTATAAATTTATTAGATAACACAGGTTAGTCATTTTAATTAAGTTTTTGTTTATTTTATGTATGTTTGTATTCTGTAGGACCTGTGGCACAGGTTTGAAACACCAGTAAGTCATTGTATGTATACTTGCGAGTTGTATCTATCACAACACATTTATTCCTCCACGCTTTGATGAACAAACCATAAATCACCTTAAACTCACATTCCTCATCAAATTCATTGTCATCTAAAACACTTACTATGAGCCCTGAATACCATACATACTTGTCTTCTTCATTTACCATCTTAAGTTCTTTTTCCTAAAATATGCAACAGTTTTCAAATGATGTATTTTTTGAATTCCATGATTCCTTTATGCATATTTGCATAGTGCAACTCTAATTTTTTTTCTTCATAACACAATTAAATAAGTAGAAACCCTTCAGTCTGTAAAGTAAACGATTCTGGGTTATCCCCACAGATTTAATAAAAACTGGATCACTAATATAATTCAAATGTAATAACAGTAAAAACATATTAAAATTTTTTAAAAAATTACAAACTTTTTAAATTTGATATGTTTAATTTGTTTGAACAGCCCATTTTCAGCAATTTACTGACCTAATAGTAATTTATGCGATTATTTCACTGACCGATCTGTAAATTATTCAATAGTTTTCAAATGATGTATTTTTTGGATTCCATGATTTCTTTATGCATATTCGCATAGTATAATTATAATATGACCCCAAATATTATTCTCCGAAACTAAGAAAATAATGTAAAACCCTTCAGGCTGTAAAATAGATGATTCTGGACAATCGTGACAGATTTTAAGATTTTAAGATTTTAAGATTTTAAAATAAAATTTTGGTTTTTTATTTTCTTGTAATTGTTTGATCACTATGAAAATTTCAATTCAAATGTAATAGCGATTCAAAAGTTATTCAAAAGTTAGTATGACCCCAAAAATATATAAATTAGTAAAAACCCTCGGTCTCTAAAATAGATGATTCTGGTCAATCCTGACAGATTTAAAAAAAAAATTTTTTCGGCATTTTTTTTCCTAATAGTTTGTGGGTCACTATGAAAAATTTCAAGTCAAATGTATTATTGGTTCAAAAGTTATTCCAATGACAATAATACTCTTATTTTCGGTGCCATTTCGCAGCAAATTTTCCATACTTATTTCACTACAAAAAGTTCAATAACTTTTGATCCGCTTAACTTCAAAGACCGAATGACCCCCCTCATATTTTAAGTCAAACCAAGTTCTATACCAGGGTTGTCCAACCTTTTTACAGCCTGGGCCATTATTTTATTTTGATGACAACACGAGGGCCACAAATTAAGAAAAATCATTTTGTTTAAACTTCTAATTTAAAACAACTAATTCCATTTCAATATTGTCAAAAAAAATGTATTTAATGGGAAACTTGGCATTGTTTATTTTTACACAATTGATCAATGTCAGCTTTTATAGTGGACAATGAAATCCGAAGTGTATCAGTGAGGTGTTCATCTTTCAACCTATGTCTCTGCTCTGATTTAACATGTTTCATTCTTGAAAAAAATTGTTCACAGATGTATGTGCTTCCAAAAAGGGAAAAGTATTTCATAGCGTGTTTGCACAAATGTGGATAAACTTCAATGTTCATGTATTTTTTATAAAGTTCTAACAATTCAACATCTTTGTAAGCATCTTTCAAATCTTTATTGTTTTGTAGTTCTATTAATTCCATTTGAAATTCATCTCTTACTGTCTTAACTTTAATGGAAAATGGATGTGAAAATAAGTCTAACTCATTCTTTTCTTCTTTAAAATCACAAAATCTTGTGTCAAATTCATCAATTACTTTTAAAATAAGATTACAATATTTTTCATAGTCAACTGTGTTGGTATTTCTTTCTGACAATGTTTTAAAATGGATAAGTGATTTTTGACTTAATTGTTGTTTGAGAAGTTTCAATTTCAAAACAAATGTTTCTACATTTTCATATAATTTACTAATAAGTTGATCTTTACCCTGCAACTTGATATTTAATTCCATTAACATCTGTGTAATGTCAACTAAAAATGCCAAATCATTCAGCCAGTCATTATTTTCAAGAAAGCTTGTGTCTTTATCTTTAATTTTTAGAAACTTTATTATTTCAGGTATTAATATCCAAAATCTTTTCAAAGTTGCAGCTCGACTAAGCCATCTAACTTGGCAGAAATAAATTACATCTTCTGCCTCACTTCCACAATCCTCAAGCAATTGTTTGAACTGTCTGTGATTAAGGCCACGACTTCTTATAAAATTAACAGTTTGGATAACAATTTCCATGACTTCTTTCATTTCTAATACTTTTGCACATAACTGTTCCTGATGTATAATACAGTGATATGAAAGAATGTTGTGATTAATGGATTTCTTAAATAATGCCACAAATCCAATATTTTTTCCTTTCATTGAACTTGCTCCATCTGTAGTGACACCAGAGAGTTTTGTTTCTGGCAAATCAAACTTTATCATTGTTTTTTTGACTTCAGAAAGAATATCTTCCCCTTTAGTAGTGCCTTTCATGTGCCTGAAATCCAACAGTTCTTCAATTATTTCAAAATTACTTGTTATAAATCTAATAAAAATAGCTAACTGAGCCGTATCACTTCTATCTGTTGATTCATCAAGTGCCAGACTATATGCTTCACACTTACATAGTTTTTCTTTCAATGCTAATTCAATATTCTTTGATAGATCTTCAACCCTTCTTGCAATTGTCTGGTGTGAAAGACTGAGATCTTCAGCAAATTGTATTTTTTCAGGGCATACCTCATTACAAAATTGTTTTATAGAGTTTTTTATTAAATCTCCAGTAGAAAAAGGTTGACCACTTTTTGCAATATTTTCTGCAATTAAAAAACTTATTTAGGTAGCACTGTATGAGCTAATTACTTTACTTTTCATTATTGATTGTTGTCCGATAAAATTTTTCTTTAGCAGTTCTACCTTATCAACACGAAATTGGCCCTTGAATTTATCATAAGTTGCTGCATGTTTTGTAGTATAGTGTCTATTAACATTATACATTTTGCACACGGCAATTTTTTCAAAACAAATGAGACACATAATTGAATTATTTTGCTCCATTACAAAATATTCATTTGTCCAAGATGGGTTAAATATACGACCTCCTCTTCCACTTTCAGTTTCAGCTCTACGTCTTTTATTAGCACTAGCAGAAGCCATATTTAAAAAAAAATCAATATAACTATGGTTCCGCTAACCAAATAGTCAATACCGTTTTAACCGGTTTTATAAAAAAAATAAGGCGGTAGTTTTAACCGTGTTGCAATTTTAAAAAAAATCTGATTTTTAAAATTATATTAAAAAACTGCCCTAATTCTGAGCTACAGAAAAAATAGTTTTAAAAATATAATATTCACTTTATTTTGTTAAAAGTTTTGAATGGTTTTTGATAAGTTAAGAATTGAAAACGCGGGCCATGGCAAAAGACAACGAGGGCCACTTTGTGGCCCGCGGGCCACGCGTTGGACAACCCTGTTCTATACAATAACATCAATTATATTTTCATACTTAAATTATAAAAAAATCGTCTGGAATCGCTACATATGTAATAAATTTTTTTAATAAGCATCATTACAAGAAACATATTGTTTTCGGTTTGATAAATAACTTTTGTGTCACTTTATTACTCTGGTATTTATTCCACAGTGCTTAAGTTTATGAAGCAAGAAGGTAAGATCAACTGTATCAAACAATATTAACAATGTCATTATGAATCATAATTCCACGAAAATGATTTTTCACGGAATTAATTATTATACGGGTCATAGTAAGTTCTTTTTTCCACATATTTTTAAGTCTAACTCCAAATGTTTTTTGAACTTTTTATACCGATTATAATTAATCAACAAATTTTAGGCGGGTGTTCTAAATATTATTAAGATAACCACTCTTGTTTATTTAGATTAACGCTCTAATTATTTATTTAGATTACCGCTCTTTATTATTTAGATTACTGCTCTAACCACTGCAGCCGTGGCGCAGTGGTTAGAAACGAGCTCTGAACATATTTTTGCGTCACGATAAGGAAGGAGGTGTGAACTTCCTAGTTAAATTCACTTTCGCGGTGCTCTGTGGCAAAACCGTTAGGTCTTCTTGGGGCACCTAAAAGCGTTAAAAAAAAAATTACCCGTTTTAGACACTAAGATCCGAACCGCTGATAAACAGCGGTTCGCGCAGCGACCGCTGTTTATTAGCGGTTCGGATTGAATTGTTCAATAATCTTAAACGAATTCTTCCACAGAAGTTAGATGCTACAGAAAACGTTTGTTCTGAATTTGATGATGTTGGTTTTATCGTCATTAACGCTTGATACAATTTTTCTAAATTAAAATGAAGTTTTTTTTAAAGTTTTTGAAAACGATAAAAAATATTTTAAAATATCAGCTATTTTATCTTTGCAACTTGCCAAAATTAAACATTTTGCACTTTCTAGTTTTTTATGCAGTTCTTCTTCCAGTGTAATTGTAGTGCGTTTCCTATAGTATCTTTGTTATTTTTAGTTGAATGTCCCTGTTTATGTGTGTTTTGCTTTTCTTCATCCCCATCAAATAATCTCTTTAGTAAATCTGTTGTAAAATTTTGTACTTTTTTTTTAAGACATTGCACCATTTATTAATATGCAAAGAAAATCAAAAGAATACAATGGTAATTTTATTTAGAATAAAATTACCATTGTATTCTTTTGATTTTCTTTGCATAAAATCAATTGCTAATTAGGCTGTTGCAAGATTAGCATCGTCTCTGCAAAGAGCTTTGACAGTTAATTTAATAGTCTCTAGGGTTGAAAATTTGGAGCTTGATGCAAATGTACGTAAAAAGGCGATCATTCTTCTCGTAGATTTGATTGAGTAACTGCAGTGGATTTCATTGCTTGAAAATTGTTTTGCGAGCATTGTTGAAACGGCGAACTTTCTCAAGGTTGATTTTTAACGGAAAGATCATCATTATTCAACAAGATTGCTTGTCACAAATTTTGAATCAATCTGCTAGATCAAGCTATCTAAATTTGAATTCTCTAGTTTGTTTCTTGTTGGATTCTTTTTTTTTGTGCTTTTTTTGCCCCTCCATTTTTTTCTGAGCCCCTTAAAGCCTTCGCGTCCGGGACCATTTTCTCTATGGTCTTCCCTCGCTACGCTAATGTTTAAAAAAGTTTGTTATGACTTGTATATGTTGTATATATTGTATAAAACTTTGCCCTTCAACCCCCCCCCCACCCCCATTTCCCTAGGGTTTAAGTATTATTAGCCGATTTAAAAAGAGGAGGTACAGAAAATGGCGTAGCAAGGGTGGGGCGGACATGCCCCGGGCGGCTTTATTTTAGGAGGGGCATTGCTGTTCATGTTATTGAATAATAACTACATTTTGTATAGCTTTTGTAGTATCTATTTTTGACAAAAACTTTTACAATTATTGCCTTGGCTATTTCGCTCATAAATTAGACGTAATTTTAAACCTAATTCACTTAACAAAGTGCACCAACGAGAAGGTAAGCCATAGTACTTTACACTTCATCTGTATACTGTTATTTTGCCTAAGGTTACTGGATTCTTTTCTTCTCTTAATAGGAATTTTTTTTTTTAATTTTAAACTGCTTTTTTTTTTAAAAAAAACTTTTGCTATATTTTTTCATTAAAGTTCATTTATTATGAAATAAATATAGGCCAATAGTTAGTCTCTCTCTCTCTCTCTCTCTCTCTCTCTCTCTCTCTCTCTCTCTCTCTCTCTCTCTCTCTCTCTCTCTCTCTCTTTGTATATATATATATATATATATATATATATATATATATATATATATACATATATATATATATATATATATATATATATATATATATATATATATATATATATATATATAAATATATATATATATATATATATATATATATATATATATATATATATATATATATATATATATATATATATATATATATATATATATATATATATGTATATATATATATATTTATTTATTTATTTATTTATTTCTTTATTTATATACATACAATATTAGTAAAAATTAAGTTAGAAGTAAGAAAAAAGTAAAATAAAAGCTTGTATACTGCTAAATGAAAGTGAAATGAAAGTGAAATGAAAGTGAAATGAAAGTGAAATGAAAGTGAAATGAAAGTGAAATGAAAGTGAATTGAAAATGAAAGCCAACTCGAAAGGAATTTCACCTGATTTAAAAAAAAATGTCAATGACTCTTTTAACATCTGGAAAAATTTTCTTGACATTAATGTTAAAGAGTTAAAGCGAGACTTCTGGAGTTTTTAGTCTACATATAGTTGAAATACTTCTTTCACATTGGCAAGTTGTTATTGGAACTGTTCCTAATATTATAAACGCTGTCCTTATATTTGGAAAACCTCTCATGTCAATGGCCTTTAAGGTAGCAACAACAGTTGAAGGATTATTTAACTGGTTTTTCCAATATAATTTCCATAAATCTAACTCAGCATGTATTGAAGCAAAATGAGGCATATCAAATGAATAGAAATTTAAAAATTCATAAAAATCAGGTTTCCATGGTTTCTCAACTTGTATTATGGACAGTACAGTTGAAGGAACTGCTGCTAGACCTTTATAAACAAACATACCATTTTCTGGAAACCTAGCTCATTAATAAAATGTTCAATTAATAGAGAAGTAATGCTATGTTTAAAATAGTCACAAACTGTATTTGATGGATGATTATCCCGGTGAACCTGGACCTTACGCAATCTAGGTATTACTTCTTGAATGTCAAGAGTTTTGGCTTAAATATGAGCAATAAAGAACCATTCAGTGTGATATATATCAATTTTGTTTTTAACTTCTAATAACAGATTTTTTAGATTAGTTATTTCTAAACACTGCTGGGATATGTCAAAAGATTTAGTTTCAAGAGTTTCAGTAATAAAAAAATCCATTAACTGTTTATTATAACTAAACTTACAATAAAATAGAAACCTGTTAATGATCTTATAAAAGAAAAGGATTTGGACGCAGTTTCGCTGTTATATTCCCTGGATTTATTTAATCCCATTTCCTCAATAGCATGAATAACAGGTAAAATTATCAAAAAAAAACACTCAGCTTTTGAATCCATTTTGTTCGACAAGTATCTATTAATTTTTTCTGATTTGGATTTAAATATTTTTTGAGACAGTTACTATGTTTATCTTTTACTTGGTTTAGCAGATTTTTCACTTTTTGAACGAGTTATGCAGTTGCTACAACTAAACTAAATCTATGGCTTGCACAATTAACAAAAATAGCTTTATGATTAACAGCTTTTATTCGAGAAGCAACTCCTTTATATTCACCTGCCATACAACCCGCACTATCATACCCTTGCCGTCTACAATTTTTAATATCAAGTACAAATTCTTGAAGTGTATTAAGTACATTTAGAGAGAGACTAAGACCAGATATACCGGTCTTGCAATCAATAAATCTTAAGAAATCCTCGCAAATCTCAATATTTGAATTTACATATCTTAAAACAAATGATATTTGTTTAATATTTGAACAGTCAACTGCTTCATCACAAAGAATTGAAAAAATAATCGAATGCTTAACATTTTTTATTAAAATTTCCTCAATTGCTTTCCCACAAGAATCAATAAGTTGGTTTGGGTAGTTTTTGATATATAGGTTGCATTTTTTGGACTTAAAGAAAGATGATTAGCTAATATTTGATAACCAGCATCAACACGAAAATTTAAAATCTCAATGAAGTTACCTACTCCAACCTTTTGCGTAGAGGATTCTCAAATATCAGGATGATATTTGGTATCATCACGGTGTCCACGAAATGCTAAATCATTTCTACGAATAAAGATTATTGTTTTGATTATTGGAACTAATTTTTTTCGGCTATCATAAAGAAGTTTTAAACGAGAGTTATTTAAATCAACCACAATAACATTACTTTCGGAGTTGCAACGTGAAAATAATGCATTAAATGAAAGCATAGACCTTTCCTGCAAAACACAACTTTTCTCATGTTTTTTAAAATCAAAAACAGCATTTCCCCACTCTTGGTGAGGTTTGAAAACTAAATTTGATATTCGAGACTTATTTGGAATACTAGCACCTAACAAAGTACAAGGAAGACAGTAAGCTCCATCTTCTTTGGTAGAATAAGCTAACCAAGAAAATTGGCTGAGGC